GTTTCTCTTTTATTAGAGTGGATTGTCATAATTGTAACCTGCACATCTTTTTCGATAAAAACAACTGTAAGCCTATTTCTGCCCACCCTGGGGAGTGGTGCAGTGGTCAGAAGACCATAAGACCTGGTGATATTTGAGTAAAGACCTCAGGGAGCGAGGCGTGAACCCACGGGGCCTGCAGGGAAGGACATCCCAAGCAGAGGGAGTATTAAGTGAAGGGCTCTGAGCGTGCCTGGGGAGCAGCGGGGGGCCGGTGCACACCTGGAGCAGATGGGGTGGCCGAGGGACAGGAGGGCCATCAGATCACCCTGGGCAGGTCGGGGCACAGACTGGGTTACTCTGTGTGACACAGGGTAAGGGTTTGAAGGGTTTCAGGACAGGAAGAACATGGCCTGATGGGAGTTTAAAGGCTGCTTTGTGGAGCATGAAGAGAGGAGGCAAAGGTGGGGGCCAGGAGGGCAGTCCACAGGCTGTCGGGGACCCAGGGGAGAGAAGGTGGTGGCAGAGCTCATTAGAGGGCTAGTTTGGATACAGTTGGAGGCGAGGCGGTTTCAGAGGATTTGCGTGTGGCTCAGATGACGGGTCGGAGGCGAGAGAACTCAAGGATGTCAAGGTTTTGGCCTAAGCCACCGGAAGGATGGAGTTGTCACTTCCTGAAATGAGGAATCCCGGGAGGAAATTGAGGGTTAGATTTTGGACATGGTAGGTGTGGGATGCCTATCGGAGTAGAAATCACAGGGATACGAATTAATAATTTAGTGAGGGCCTGTGGAGGGGCTTATGAAGTAGCAGACGGCAGACAGTTATACTAACATAACTGCGGTAAAGGTAGAAAACCATGCCGTGAGGAAAAAGAAGTGAATCAAGCACAAGGGAGGGTGAGGTGGCTTGTGCTGGGCGGGCAGAGGCCCCTTCCTCCCATCCTGTGGGACGCTGGTGCCCTGGGGGAGCCTTCCTGGGCCCGCAGATGTGTGCTTGCGGGTGTGCCCAGCAGGCTGGGTGGGAGAACAGGGTCTGGGCCTTCCCTCTCGTCCTCAGTGCCAGGCGTCAGACTTGGCACCTGGTAAAGGTTTGGTGGGTGATCCTCCCTCCCTGAGCCCCAGTTCTCCATGTGTAAGATGCAGAGGTAGACTAGACCAGTGCACTGTGATCAGGTGGGAAGCATGCAGGAGGCAGCCGATCCATGATTCTCATCATTGATGTTTCTATCTCTCTCTCTCCTTCCTCTCTGAAATCAATAATTAAAAAAAAATGCAGGGGTCCATCCCAGATCTTTTGAGTCAGAATTTCCAGCTGGGAGTTGGGAGCTGGGAGCTGGGACTGTATTTCAATCACATGTTCTTGTTCTTTTGCAGTTGGTTGCAACAGTGTCCCCAGACGGGTGCCCGGGAGCCACCGGACCAGATACCTGCTGAGGCCCCTCCAGCTCCAGTGTCCTGTGAGTCCCGTCAGGTGCTTGCAGGCTCACTCTCTTGTTGGGACGTGGGATTTCTGGTTGGGGTGGAAGGGTCTGGAGGGGGAGAGGAGAAGCTGCCTCTGGGTGAAGGTGAAGGGCACCCGGGACAGGGCCGTCAGCCAGGGGTTCGGAGAGGCCTTAGGAATCGACCCGGGAGGGCTATGGAACCTTTTCCCAGGTTCGATTCCAGGCAAGGGCACATGCCTGGGTTGTGCGCTCGATCCAACGTGCAGGAGGCAGCCAATCAATGTTTCCTTCTCATCATTGATGTTTCTCTCTCTCTCTTCCTCTCCCTTCCTCTCTGAAATCAATAATTGCATCAGCTTTGGTATTTAAAATCCGAAATTTATAAATGTTTCTCCTGCTGTTTATGTTGAGCTGCCACTTTCTTTACTAGCTCAGATTTTCCTAGCAGAAGATACCTTACCTTACCTCCGACTATTTTGAGCCAGTTCCTGAGATTTCTCTGTGCAGAGAACATTGCCTTCTTCTGACATAACACTTCTTCGCTTCAAGAGGGAGACAATAGGAGGCTCCCCGCTATTTCCCCCTGGCACCGCCAGCACCCCTCCTCCCACATGCTCTCCCCGCTCCTTAAAGAGACCAATCCCTCTGCCTTCCTCCTCAATCTTTTTCCTAGATAGTAAAAAAAAAAAAAATTGTAGGGAGTAATGTGAGAAGGTACAAGCTTATAAAGTGAATATCACACGGGGGTTCCCTTGGTATCGGGATGCCAAGTGCTTTCACTGATGCCCATGATCTTGCCCCTGGTTATGGGTTCCAGTACTTCCTAGTCCAGGCACAGGCATTTAGCAGCTACTCTGCCAACCCATATTCTGTATAGACCTGTGGTTGGCAAACTTTGGCTCATGAGCCACATGCTCTTTGGCCCTGGAGTGTAGCTCTCCCACAAAATACCATGGCCTGGACGAATCTATTTTGAAGAAGTGACATTATAGAAGAAGTTTGTTTAAAAAACGTGGCTCTCCAAAGAAATTGATATTTGGCTCTGTGGACTAATGAGCTTGCCGACCACTGGGACAGTTCACTTCATTATTATCCACCATAAGCAGGCGGCTTTCCGATGGGGCGGCTTTTATTTCCTGTGAACGCTTAACAAGCAGATGTGTTTTGTTGGTCAGAGGCTGGGAGGGCGGCAAGAAACCAGACCTGCAAACCTGTCGCTCCCCTGGGGCGGTCACAGGTGCACCTCCACCACCACCTGCCTCCCTGCGGTTCTGAGTGTTTTTTCTTTAGTTTCCCATTTAAAGGTTATACAAGCAGTCTATCTGCCCACAAAAAAAATCTTTTGAAAAAATAACCCACCAGTAATTCTACCGCCCTGTATAATCATTCTTCTCTTTCTTTTAATCTTAACTCAAACGCAGACTTAGTTTTACATTGTTATAATCATAGTCTGACATGACAACACTTGGTTGTGTTTTTTATTTTTTTTAACTTAACACTATAAGTAACTTTCCATGTTGCTATGTAGATGTCACAATTAGGATTTTAGAAAATTTGAATATATTGGGGTAACATTGGTTAATAACATTATATAAATTTCAGGTATATAGCTTTATAATACAACATCTGTATATTACATTGTGTGCTCCTCACCCCGAGTTTGGCCTTCTCCTGTTATTGTGTATTTGACCTCCTTCATGACCTCCTTGGTGAGAATTAAAAAAAAAAAGTTAGTGCTGGAGAATGCTCTTCCCTCTGGTAACCTCCATTCTGTTATCCGAATATGAATTTGCTAATTTTTAAAAAGAAATAATTTATTTTCATTCCAGAGAGATAAGGGAGGGAGAGATAGAAACATCACTGATGAGAGAAAAATCATTGATTGGCTGCCTCCTGCACACCCTTTACTGGGGATTGAGCCTGCAACCCAGGCATGTGCCTTGACCAGGAATTGAGCTGTGACACTCAACCACTGAGCCACGGAGGCCGGGCTGTTTTTGCTTTTTGTTTTATATGCTCCATAGAAGTGAAATTGGGTTCCTGTCCTTTTTTGTCTTCCTTGTTTCACTTAGCATAGGACTCATGATCCATGCATGTTGTCACAAATGCCAGTGTTTCGTTAATCCTTCTTTGGCTGAGTAGTAGTCCACTGTGTATGTGTACCACATCTTTCTTACCCAGTCATCTGTAGAAGGACACTTAGTATAAATAGAGTTAAAAAAAAAACAAAAACAACTTACACTGTACGTGGATTTTTTGTTTGTTTGGTAATCCTCACCAGAGGATACTTTTTCCATTGATATTTAGAAAGAATGGAAAGGAGGTGGAGAGACAGAGAGAAACATCGATGTGAGAAAGACACGTACGTCAGTTGGTTGCCTCCTCTCTGGGTCAGTGAGATGCGGAAGCAGATGCAGGATTCACAGGCTGAGCAGGGGAGGAGGGAGGTGAGCTTTTCTTCCTCTCTCTGGCAGGTGTGAGCTAGCCAGCTCCGAGTTCCACCAAGTGGGAGTGTCCTAGGGATTTCCTAACCTCTGTTGTTAGTTCTACAGCTCTGCTCCTCCAGATGGTGAAGGAAACAGGTGGATTTTCTTTTCCTTGTATATTAAGATAAAATAAAACCCAAGGCTCCTCCAAAACCGTTCTGGCCGATGTGATAACTATGTGGGCACTTTAAGAGTCACCTTGCCCAGCCTGAACCGGTATGGCTCAGTGGACAGAGCATCAGCCTGTGGACTGAGGGGTCCCGGATTTGATTCCTGTCAAGGGCATGTACCTTGGTTGTGGGCACATCCCCAGTAGAGGATGTTCAGGAGGCAGCTGATCGATGTTTCTCTTTCATCAGTGTTTCTAACTCTCTATCCCTCTTCCTCTCTCTGAAAAATCAATTAAAAAAAAAAAAAAAAAGTCACCCTGCTCCTCAGGTTCAGTGGTCTATTCACTAACCAATAACAGTTTTAGAGTGAAAATGAAGGCATTAAGTAGATGCTTACTAGAATAAAAAAATACCCAGAGGACAATATAATTTTCTAGCGCGTACTGATGATTGAAATTTATGCAGCAAGAAACCAGAGTTGTGCAAAGCCAGTGATAGCTGCGAGTAAATTAGCAGAACTTATAGCCACGTCACGTATGTGAACCGGAAGTTTTCTGAAGAAGAGAGGTGTGCTGAGCCACGCCTTTCTCCAGGGGCTGAGTGATTGACTTTGCCAATACCCGTGGCCATGGAGATGATGTCCCCCGACAGGTGGAGGGAGGGTTCTATGCCCGCGCCTCTTGGCCGTGCAGCCTGCCAGGAGCTTCTAGGTGTTGAGGTGTAAGGCCTGCCAGGCTTGTCACTACATATAAACACCCCCCTCCCCGCCTCTCCCTCCGTGTCTCTAGCATTTTGGAAACCTGTTGGGATGAAGCACAAGTGTGTGACTTCCCCTAGTGTGGGGGTTTGTGCGCAGGCGTTGTGGCTGTGTGTGTGTGTGTGTGTGTGTGTGGTGGGTGTGTAAAGTGGGCGGAGTCCCGCAGGAACCTGGTGACCAGATCTCTCCTCTGTTTCTGTTGTAGCCCTCGCCGGCGCCCAGCCATGGGGGACATGAAAACTCCAGATTTCGATGACCTTCTGGCCGCCTTTGACATCCCAGACCCCACCAGCCTCGACGCCAAGGAGGCGATCCAGACCCCCAGTGAGGAGAATGAGAACCCCCTCAAACCCCCAGGCATGTGTCTGGACGAGAGCGTGTCCTTGTCCCACTCGGGGTCCTCCTCGGACGTGCCCGCCGTGAGCGTCATCGTCAAGAACACCAGCCGCCAGGAGTCCTTCGAAGCGGACAAAGACCACCTCGCTCCCAGCCTCCTGCACAATGGCTTCCGGGGCCCAGACCTGCCTCCAGAGGCCCACAGCCTGGGCCACAACTGCGGGAAGTTTGAGTCCGCTTTCATGAATGGAGACAGCGCCAGGAGCTTCCCGGGCAAGCTGGAGCCTTGCAAGTCAGAGCCGCTGCCCACCTTCAGCCAGTTCAGCCCGATCTCCAGCCCCGAGTCGGAGGATGCCATCAAAGATAACGGCTTCGGGCTGAAGCCCAAGCACTCCGACAGCTACTTCGGGCCCCCTCCCGGGTGCGGGCCTGTGGGGGGCCCAGTGCTGGAGGCTCTGGCCAAGTTTCCGGTCCCAGAGCTGCATATCTTCGATCACTTTTGTAAGAAAGAGCCCAAGCCGGAGCCCCTGGCACTGGGGAGCCCGCCGGAGCATGAGCGGGGGGCGCAGAAGGCGGCGGCGGAGCCCCCCAAGGAGCTGGACGCCAGCCGCTTCTTTGGGGATGCTTTGGACTTCAACAGTCACCCCGGCAACAGTATCACCGAGTCCAAGGGGCTTGCTGCCGAGCTCGGCTCCTGCTCGTCCGTGCCCCCGCGGCAGCGGCTGAAGCCGGCGCATTCCAAGCTGTCATCTTGCGTTGCTGCCTTGGTGGCCCTGCAGGCCAAAAGGGTCGCCAGTGTCGCCAAGGAGGACCTTCCCGGCCACACCAAGGACCCCCCGGGACCCACGAAAGAGGCCTCCAAAGGCAGCCCCAAAATGCCCAAGTCACCAAAGAGTCCCCGGAGCCCTCTGGAGGCCACCAGGAAGAGCCTGAAGCCCTCCGACAGCCCCCGGAGCATCTGCAGCGACAGCAGCAGCAAGGGGTCCCCTTCGGTGGCCGCCAGCTCCCCGCCGGCCATCCCCAGAGTCAGGATCAAAACCATCAAGACATCATCGGGGCAGATCAAACGGACTGTCACGAGGATCCTGCCGGACCCAGACGATCCCAGTAAGTCCCCCGCTGGGTCGCCTCTCGGGAGCGCCACTGCCGAGACCCCAAGCGAGGTGCCGGAGGACGAGGTCGCCGTCCTGCCTGTTGCCGCCGAGCACTCCCCCGAGGCGGGCACAGACACAGGGAGCCCCCAGGGCGACCGGAAAGGGCTCGAGAGCGTGCCCAAGGCTGGTGAATCTCCGTCTCCCAGCTGTGGCTCTGGGTCCCGGGCCCCGAAGGGGGCCGCCCTGGGCCCCCAGGCGGGCAAGAAGCAGCAGCAGCAGAGCGCCGCCCTGCAGGCGTCCACCCCGGCCTCTGCCAACCTCCTGCCCAAAGCCGTGCACCTGGCCAACCTGAACCTGGTCCCCCACAGTGTGGCCGCCTCGGTCACGGCCAAGTCCTCGGCGCAGCGGCGGAGCCAGCCGCAGCCCACGCAGATGTCCGTGCCCCTGGTGCACCAGGTGAAGAAGGCCGCCCCGCTGGCCGTGGAGGTCTTCAACAAGGTCCTCCACGGCTCCAACCCCGTGCCCCTGTACGCGCCCAACCTCAGCCCGCCCGCCGACTGCAGGATCCACGTGCCCGCCAGCGGGTACTGCTGCCTGGAGTGCGGGGACGCGTTCGCCTTAGAGAAGAGCCTGGGCCAGCACTACGGCCGGCGCAGCGTGCACATCGAGGTGCTGTGCACGCTCTGCACCCAGACGCTGGTCTTCTTCAACAAGTGCAGCCTGCTGCGCCACGCCCGCGACCACAAGACCAAGGGGCTCGTCATGCAGTGCTCGCAGCTGCTCGTCAAGCCCATCTCCGCGGACCAGATGTTCGTGGCCCCGGCCCCGGCCCTGGCCCCCCCAGCCCCCGCGAACTCAGCCCCACCGCCGGCCCCCGCCCCGGCGCCCCCGCCCGCCCCCTCCCCCAAACACGGCCCCGCCTCGGACAGTGCCGGCTCCACCATTCCAGCTCTGCCGCTCTACCCCGACCCCGTGAGACTCATCCGACACGGGGTCAAGTGTCTCGAGTGTCACAAGCAGATCCGTGACCACACCGTCATGGCGGCGCATTTCCAGAGGACGGCGGAGAAGACCGAGGGGCTGGTGAGTGACCCTCCCTGTGGCGGCGGGCGGCGGGCCCTGGTCCACACGGGCTCCACGTTGGGCGGGGAGAGAAAGGCTCATCGGTGGGGGCAGTGGTGGCATCTTAGTCTTTGAACGGGATGAGGGCTTGATGGTTAGCGACCGGCTTAATAGATGGTGTTTACCGAGAAAAGTGTCCCACCCAGAGCTGACGGGAGCCCTGAAGATTGGGTGAGTCTATATGGACGTGCCCCAAAGTTCACCTAGCTCCCACTCCCGTGGGCTGTCAGGGCCCCTCGTCAGGCCTGGGCGAGGTCTCTGCCGGATGGCGCCTCGTCTCTGGCAGGTGTCCGGGCAGTCCTCCCGGGTGCCCGCAGGACTCAGGGCCGAGGGAGTGTGACACTGTCCTTCTCAGACTATCCTTCAGCCCTGACCGGTTTGGCTCAGTGGATAGAGCGTCGGCATATGGATTAAAGGGTCCCGGGTTCGATTCCGGTCAGGGGCATGTACGTTGGTGTGGGCACATCCCCATGGGGGGTGTGCAGGAGGCAGCTGATAGATGTTTCTCTCTCATCAATGTTTCTAGCTTTCTATCCCTCTTCCTTCCTCTCTGTAAAAAATCAATAAAATATATTAAAAAAAAAAAAAAAAAAAAAGGACCCTCCTTGACTGCGTGCTGCCTGCTGTGGACTCAGCTCTTTGTGCAGAACCCACTGTGGGAAGTGCAGCCAGGCCTGCGGCAGGGCTGGCCTGTGGGCCTCTTCCTTCCATGGTGTCCTCAGTCCTCTAGGAAAGCCGCTGTGCCTCTCTGCTCCCCGTTCTTGGTTATGTTTGACGAGATCTGGCTTTATTTAAAAAAAAAAAAAAAAAAAAAAAAAAGCATCTGTGCTGAGACTACCCTTGGGCACCCTCTGTGCCCATGGCTGTCTGAGTTAGCAACGCCCTTGGAGAATTGGGGCTCCAGATGCCTCCAGAAGGCTCTTTTCCTCCTTCTCCTCCTCATCCATGTGGAAGGAGCGTCTACTGACCTAGCCACGCCTGCCCCTCACCAGCTTCCTTCAGCCAGGGCTGCAGAGCCTGGGTGGGCGCAAGTACAGTAGCTTCTTTTTTTTTTTTTTTTTTTTTTTTTTTAAATGTTTTTATTGCTTTTAGAGAAAGAAAGGGAAGGGAGAGAGGGGTAGAAACATCAATGATGAGAGAGAGAATCATTGATCGGCTGCCTCCTGCACACCCCCTACTCAGGATTGATCTTGCAACCCGAGCATGTGCCCTGACCCGGAATCGAACCGTGACCTCCTGGTTTATAGGTCAGTGCTCAACCACTGAGCCACGCCGGCTGAGCCAGTCGCTCTTTTTACGTCGGTTCAGCAGGGGCCTCTGAGCTCTGCATGTGCGTTCCCGGCTGAGCTCAGCGGGGCCTGCAGGAGGGCGCCGTGCTTTTCCTCCGGGAGCTCCCGGTGGCACAGCCAGCACAGGAGTGTGTGCTGAGTGTGTGCTGAGCGTGTGCAGACGCAGAGCCGGGTTGGAACAGGCTCATCAACATGGTTGCACAAAGTGCCTCAGAGGGACAAGTCATCGTGACGCCACACATGACATTTGAGCGTGGAGGAGAGGAGAGGCAAGTAGAGGGACAGCAGTACGTGCAGGCGCCACGTGTGTTTGAGAACAGAGAGCTGTCACAATGAGGCAGCCTCAGGAGCAGGGCGGGGAGGGAGGAATATGGCCGGATGATGGGGATTCTGCAACTCCAAAAGGGAACAGAAGGTAACGGAAGGATCGGTTTTGACCTCTCACGGTCACCCCTGTTTCTGTTTGCGTTTTCCTTACGGTGAGTCAGGTGGAGTGTGGCCTCTCCAGCCATCCCCTCGGGGGGTTTCATGTACCAGCAGGGCTGACTTGGTCCCGATCGCATCTTCTGAGTCCCGTGACCAGAGCCGTTGCCAATGGAGGTTTGATGTCCGGGCCTCCTTTTTCCCTGCGCTATTCCTCACTGGTGCCTTCTAACACATGTGGGGAGTCTGGGTAAAGGCCCCCGCTGGTGACCTGCTTGTCCTGCATCTTCTCTATGTCATTCTCCTCTAGCAGAAAGGAGGGGACGGAGCACCCAGGAGGGCTGCCAGGCCTCTCTCAGCCTCGTTCTAATCCCTCAAAACCTCATGCCTGTAGAAGTAACCTCTGAGTCTCTCAGAAAGGGTGAGGCTTGAGCTCTGGGATCAAAACTAGCCTGGATGCCCTGACCAGTGTGGCTCAGTGGATAGAGCGTCAGCCTGCAGACTCAAGGGTCCCAGGTTGGATTCTGGTCAAGGGCATGTACCTTGGTTGTGGGCACATTCCCAATGGGGAGTGTGCAGGAGGCAGCTGATTGATGTTTCTCTCTCATCAGTGTTTCTGACTCTCTAACCCTCTCCCTTCCTCTCTGTAAAATCAAAAAATATTTTTAAAAAACCAGCCTGGACAGCTTTGGATCTGGGTTTCTCGGAACAGTGCCCTAGATGTCCAGGGCAGGGGGTAGGTAGACGGCAGGGCGGTGGGGGACCCCCCTCTACTCCTGGGTTGTTGAGTGACTGCAGGGCAGCATGTGTAGGCCTTTTGTCTTCTTCCTGCGGGATTGCCCCCGAACCCATCTGCCTCCCTGTGCAGTGGCTGGCGGGGTCCTTCCCCTGACATTCCAAGCCACGCTGCTGGGTGGAATTCAGCACAGAGACAGTTTCTTCCTGTTCTTAACGTCATTATCATATCTCACGAAATCAATAACAATTCCTTAACGTGTCCTCATACGGGGCCATATTCAGATTTCCCCTTTTATGACAAAACTTGTCTTAGAACCAGGATCCCAACAGGGACCACTTTACATTTGCTAATGAGCCTTTTAAACGTTCCGTCTAGAGCAGTACCTTGTCCCACCCACTGGATCGGACCCCCCTTTGTTCACGTCACTGGTTTGTGGAGGAAACTGGGCCATGTGTCCAGAGGGTTTTCCAGGACAGTCCTGAGTTTGATTGCTTCCTGAGAACTTTCCAGGATAATTTTGTCTTTGCCTGATTGCTTCCTCCCATAATTAACTTGTTCTTTTTCAATCCCACGCTTTGCAGACTAGACATTGGTCAGTGAAGACTCCATTAGGTTTGGGGTCAGTGCTGAGGAGGGGAGTCCCATGTCCTTCACATTTCATGACTTCAGGGAGGAGGTGTAAAGTGTCTGATTGTCTCTGTTTTTTGTTTTGTTTGTTTTTTATTAAATATATCTTATTGATTTTTTTTGTTTTGTTTTTTTGTTTTTACAGAGAGGAAGGGAGAGGGATAGAGAGTTAGAAACATCGATGAGAGAGAATCATCGATCAGCTGCCTCTTGCACACCCCCTACTGGGGATGTGCCCACAACCAAGGTACATGCCCTTGACCAGAATCGAACCTGGGACCCTCCAGTCCGCAGACTGATGCTCTATCCATTGAGCCAACCAGTTTGGGCTGATTGTCTCCGTTTTAATGATGCAAACCTTAGGAGGAAATTAGACAGTGGCTTCTTGATCCCTTCATTGTAAAGTTCTCTATCTTTTACCTAATGATTTTAATATCAAATGCTTGCTGCTTGAGTCACTAATATTATACTATTTGCAGAAAGGTGTTTTTCTAACGTTATTCTTTCTTTTTGTTTATTAGCTGGGATCCCTTATACATTATCTTTCCCTCTTCCACGAGGACTGATTATTATAGTTTATGTTGGAAAACGGGGTAAATACGTAATTTGTTTGCCTTGGTTGACAGTTTTCACAGTAGTGAGTTGATACTCTAAAGATCTCCAATAGTGTTTTAAGGGTCCCTCCTCTGTTTTTTTGGTTTTTTTTTAATTGTGGCAAAATTCACATAAAATTAACCATCCGAGTAATTTTTTAATGTGTAGTTCTGTAGCATTGAGTGCATTCACACTCTTTTGTAATCAGTTTCCACAACTCGTCATCTTGCAAAATGGCAGCTCTTTCCCCATTGAACAGCATTTCCTCCTCCTTCCTCCTCCAGCCCTTGGCAACTTCCTGTCTCGATGAATCTGACTACTCTAGGTACGATCGTACTATCCCACTTAGATGAGGTACCTACCTAGAGTAGTCAGATATTTTTTGGTTTTTTTTTGGCTATTTTACTCAGCATAATGTCCTCTATGTGTCAGAATCTCATTCCTTTTTAAGGCTGAGTGATATTCCACTGTACGTAAAAACCACATTTTGCTTCTTCGTTTGTTGAGGAATACTTGGGTTGCTTCCGCCTTTTGGGTATTGCGAATAATGCCACGAACGTGTGTGTACAAATACCTTTTGGAGATCCTGATTTCAATTCTTTCAGGTACATACTACTCAGAAGTGTAATTGCTGGATCATATGGGAGTTCTTTTAAATATATTTTTCACAGAGAGGAAGGGAGAGAGATAGAGAGCCAGAAATGTCGATGAGAGAGAAGCATTGATCAGCCGCCTCCTGCACACCCCCTACCGGAGATGTGCCCGCAACCAATGTACATGCTCCTGATGGGAATCGAACCTGGGACCTTTCAGTCTGCAGACCGACGCTCTACCACTGAGCCAAACCGGTTTTGGCTGAACTTTTTTCTTAAATCAAAAGTTCCCTTCACTCCCCCCCCCCCCCCCCCCCCCGGAATTTATTTGTAGAAAGAGCTGGGTTTGTCCTGTAGAGGTCCCCCCATTCTGGATTTTGCTGATTAAAGCAGAGATCCTGCCGAAGCCGGTTTGGCTCAGTGGTAGAGTGTCGGTCTGCGGACTGAAAGGTCCCAGGTTCGATTCCGGTCAGGGGCATTTACATTGGTTGTGGGCACATCCCCAGTGTGGAGTGTGCAGGAGGCAGCTGGTCGATGTTTCTCTCTCATCGACGTTTCTGGCTCTCTCTCTCCCTTCCTCTCTGTAAAAATCAATAAATTATATATTAAAAGCAAACAAACAAACAAAAAAAAACAAGCAGAGATCCTTTTCTGTCCTCCCTAACGACTTGTCCTTCTGCACAACTCCTCAGACCCAGGTCACCACCTTGCGCGCCCCCCCCCCCCCACTGTTGCCTCCTCTTTGCTAAGGAAGACTTCTCCAGATGTGGGCACCTCCTCCCCTGAGCTCCGCCCATTAGGACTTCAGCGAGTCTGGCTGTAGGTTCCTTCCCTTGGTTCCACCCCTGCCACCCGGAGTGGGTAGACAGGGCTGAGGACATGGAAGCTGGCAAGGCCCCCCCCCCCCCCCAGTCAGCGTGCCCTCGGGGCTTCCGCAGGCAGTTGGGGCATGCTCCGGTCCCCGTAGGAAGTCACCGAGCCATCTGACAAGGTGTTGAGTAGGAACCAGCTTTGCCAAGCCAGGGTGAGGACCTGGCGAGTCTGGCAATGAAGTGAGACCTTAGACTTCCAGAAGGGCCTCAGGCCTCAGGGGAGGAAAGCTGGCCCTCCGCCAAGCCGGAGGGAAGAGATGCATAGCCCTCGCGCAGGACTAATCGGGAAAACAGGGCCAGGTCTGTCTGTGACTAACAAGATAAGGCTTGCTAGGGTCAGTATCAACACTTTAAAAAAATAGACGCTGCCAAAACCGGTGTGGCTCAGTGGATAGAGCGTCGGCCTGCGGACTGAAGGGTCCCGGGTTTGATTCTGGTCAAGGGCATGTACCTTGGTTGCAGGCACATCCCTAGCAGGGAGTGTGCAAGAGGCAGATGATCGATGATTCTCTCTCATCGATGTTTCTAACTCTCTATCCTTCTCTCTTCCTCTCTGTAAAAAATCAATAAAATAAAATAAAAATAGATGTTTTTAAAATTGATTTCAAAGAGGTGGGGAAGAGAGAGAGAGAGAGAGAGGCATTAGTAATGAGAGAGAATCATTGATCGGCTGCCTCCTGCACACCCCCTACCTGGGATCAAGGCTGGAACCCTGACTGGGAATGGAACGGTAACCTCCTAGCTCATGGGTTGACGCTCAACCCCTTGAGCCACACCAGCCAGCTGGTATCAACACGTTTAATGAGGTTTGGGGTGTGAAGCACCCTAAGAGAATAGTTGCGGGGGGTGGAGGGTCATTCTGACCCATGCCCTGGGGAAGCTAGGCAGCCGTGGTGGGAGAGCCACGGCCTGCGGCACCCCCGTGAACCGTCTTCTCCGTGTTCTCTCCTAGACGTGCCCGGTGTGCCAGATGCTGTTGCCCAACCAGTGCAGCTTCTGTGCCCACCAGCGGATCCACACGCACAAGTCCCCGTACTGCTGTCCGGAGTGCGGCGCCCTCTGTCGCTCTGCCTACTTCCAGACCCACGTGAAGGAGAACTGCCTGCACTATGCCCGCAAGGTGGGCTACAGGTGGGTGCCGCCTGGCTCGCCGGCCCGTCCGGGGGTTGCCCTGGGGCTGGGCCTTCTCCTGGCCCACAACTTGCCACTGAGCTTGGTCTTCAGAGTCCCGGGCTCCAGCCTAGCCAGACAGGCACACTGGTCGGTATGTGTTCTAGAGAGCAAAAAGCGTAAGGGGAAGAAGAATACGGAGTTTTAAACAATTAAATATTAGCAAAAATCGCTTCCAAGGGGAAGCTGTAACATTCTCTTTGTCGGCTTGGTTCTTTAAAATATGCTTATTTAGCTTGCTCACAGTGTTACGGTGTTTGGCATATGAAATGGAAAGCACTGTTTCAATGATACATTTACTAATTGCAGCACTTTGAGATGTTCCCACTTCTCGTCAACAAACGGAGCAGCGAGACTCCAAACTTGAAGGGCTGTAGTGTGTTCGTGTTGATTCGTTTTTGTCAGTTTGTGAGAAGCAAGTGACGCCTGAGAATGGCAAAAATTGGTCGGCCTCCGAGTAAGAGCAGGAAAAGTCTATTTGAGACTGCATTGCCTCCATTGTGTCAGACATATATAATAAGGTGACCGCTTTTGGCGGGACAGTCCCGATTTTTAACAATTTGTCCCGCATCCCGCAGCGTTTTAAAAAAGGACAAATTGTTAAAAATCGGGATCTGGTCACCTTAATATATAAGCATGAAGTCATTTTCAGGCCCTGGCTGGTTTGACTCAGTGGATGGAGCATTGGCCTGCGGACTGGAGCATTGGCCTGCGGAGCATTGGCCCGGGTTTGATTCTGGTCAGGGGCACGTGCCCGGGTTGTGGGCTTGATCCCTAGTGAGGGACTTACAGGAGGCAGCCGATCCACCATGATTCTCTCTTATCATGGGTGTTTCTATCTCTCTCTCCCTTTTCCTTCCTCTGTGAAATCAATAAAAATTAAAAAAAAAAAAAAGTCATTTTCAGGAAAAAGAACAGGGGAAACTCCCTCTAAAGCTCACTGATCTCTAACTTGCACATCGCCCCCATCAGTTCTCCTGTGCGGGCTTTCTGCATTTGGGAGTTCCTGCATTTCCTGGTTTATTGGATCACTTTCACTCCTGAAACTTAATTTTGCCTAAATTTAGTAAGGTTTTCTTCTCTTTAGTATTTTAAAAAAATTACTGTTTTTAGCTCATTTAACTTTTCTTTAGTTCTTCTTATTGTCTTTAGTATTGGGCCAGACACTGAAGATATAAAAATGATTAAGACACATCCCCTGAGCTCAAGGGGGCTTCAGCCTGGTACGTTATAAACGTGTACACAGAAATTGTAATCAGAGTGGGAAGTCCCATAGGGAGGAGCGGTCCAGGAAAACTTGGCAGAGGGAATATTAGGAGGTTTTCAGACAGAAGGAAGGGAGAGTGTGTCTGGACCAAGGGTATGGGCGGGATACCAGCACACACAGAGGATTATGGGAAGATTATTTCTGCTGAGGTGGGTCAGGATGAATGGGGGGAGAGGTGAACAATGAGACCCAGATTGGTAGGGGTCAGGCCTTGCACAACCTTGCATTCCTTGATAAACATTTGGTCTTTATTCAGCGGACCATTGATTGGCTGGAAAGTTTCTGGGAAGCTGACACCTTATGTTAAAGAGGGTGGAGGCTGGAGACTGAGAAGCAAGTGTGCCGGTCCAGGGGGCATGCTGAGGGCTTCAGCTCAGGCCTGGATTTGGGCCGGAGGGAAAGTAGAGTTGAGAGAAATTCAGGAAGTGTAAGCATCAGGGTTCGATGATAGCTTGTGACGGAGGTGAGGACTGGAGGGTTAGTTTTCTACTTGCTATAAGCATTTCCAGATGAAGACTCATTTCTTTGCATGTTATGGAGAACAGAGATTCTAAAGAGAAATGAAACAGCCAGAGAGGTGGTGTGGAGCCCTGGCCGCCATGTTGCAGAAGAGGAGTTGGCAGCCTCCCAGGCTAGGTTTTAAATCAGACACCTGACAAGTGTTTTCGCGTGTCCTGCAACATAAATCCCGTGCTAACTGTGACTGAAGTGTGTGCTGCTGCTTCCGAGATCCAGCCCAATAGACGTGCAGTCAACACTGAGATTTTTCACTTTGAATCTGTCCAGGTGGATTAATGGAGTTTTTTGTTTTCTAACTATTTTATTTACTTTCTTATATAAGAGTAAAAGGAAACAGTTTCAAAAGCAATTTAGTTTTTTAAGGCTTTTTGTAAGAAATGTCAGCTAAAATTTAGTGAGAGTCAGTGATGAATTCTGGAAGAATTACTGAATATAACAGACATTAAAATCTCCAATGATCGAAAAAAAAATAATAAAATACTCCCAAATTTATATTTTCACCCCCTGAAAAAAATCTCCAATGACCTGTTATTGCATCCCAATACACTAATACACTATTCATTACAGTTAAGACTTTCTATTATTAATTTACTAGAGGCCCGATGCACGAAAATTCATGCAAGAGTAGGCTTCCCTTCCCCTGGCTGCTGGCACCGCCAGCTTCCCTCCTGCAGACACCCGGGACCCGAGCCAGCTTACCCTCCCACCCGGCTTTGTCAGGAAGGACGTCCGGAAGATGCCCGGTCTAATTAGCATATTACCCTTTTATTATTATAGATTTTTTGGTAACAGCTTTATTCAGATATAACTTACATAGCACACAGCTCACCCACTTAAGGTGTCCAATCTCATGATTTTCAGTATATTCAGTTATATATTCATCCCCAAAATCGCTATAGTCACTATTTTCCCACCGCCCACCCCCTAGTCCATAAACAACAACTAATTTATTCTCTGTCTTTTAGATTTATCTTGGACATTTTATATGGATGGATCATATATTATGTGCTCTGAGCATAGTATTTCAAGATTCATCCATGTTGTAACATATATACATATTTCATTCTATTTTATGGCTGATGATATCCTGTTGGATGTAAATACTGCATATTGTTTATCCATTTGTCAGCTAATAGGCACCTTTTGGCTATCACGAAAAAATGCCGCTAATGAATATTTATGTACGAGTTCTTATGTAGGTACATGTTTTCAGTTTTTGTGGGTACATACCTAGGAGTAGAATAGCTGGAGTGAGAAAGAGGGGAAGGAGGGTAGGAGAGAGAGAGTGAGGTGGGGAGGGGGGGGAGAGAGAGAGAGAGAGAGAGAGGAGAAAACATTTATACATTGATCAGTTTCCTCCCATATGCCTCTACTGGGGATCGAACCGAAACCTAGGGATGTGAACTGACCAGAAATCGAACCCGAGACCTGCTGGTGCAGGGGACGATGCTCCAACCAATTGAGCCGCCTGGCCAGAACTCAGTTTAACCTTTTGAGCAACTGCCAGACTGTTTCCCAGAGCGGCTGTACCATGTTTACCTTCCCACCAGCAGTGCGTGAGGGTTCTGCTTTCTCTCCATCCTCGCCAACATTCGTTCTGACTTTTGATTCTAGGCATCCTTTTTTTTTTTTTTTTTTTTTTTACTACTCCCTCCCTTCTCCACCCCCACCAATTTCTCTTAGCTAGGCCCCAGTTTTTGGTTTGCAGACCAATATCCTCTGGCCAATGGAGGGAGGGGAGGGTTTCTCCCTGCTTCTCTACCAGCTGTGGCCTGGTTTTGGGGGACCCTGGGCGCCGGCATTATCGCCTTTTGAGGGGAGGAAAAGGAAGGGGCGGGCTTAGGGCACTCAGCACACGCTGATTGGTGGTTTCATGTAAGGCACATGATTAAGGACCTAGGCAATTAAAATCGGGGGCTTAGGGTATTTGGCAGGTGTTTCAAGATATAGTCCATATAAGGTGCCTGGTCAGGTGCTCAGGAATGTCTGCGCTGCAGGTACAGGTTACATCATTCTCCCTCCATCAGCTGGGAGAAGGGAGGATCTGTCACCCGCCTTCTCTGATGAGTGGCCGTGTGACCGTAAGTCCCAGCACGGCTCTGTTCTTGTCCCCTGTCCCTCCTTTTCCAGGACCTTCTCTGGATCTAACCTCCACTCCTCCCCGCCCCCTGTCATTCAGGTGCATCCACTGCGGGGTCGTCCACTTGTCCTTGGCCTTGCTGAAAAGCCACATCCAGGAGAAACACTGCCAGATTTTCCACAAATGTGCTTTCTGCCCCATGGCCTTCAAGACAGCCAGCAACACCGCGGACCACAGCGCCACCCAGCACCCCACCCAGCCCCACAAACCCTCCCAGTGAGTGCAGCCGCGGGGCCAGGAGGCCCGGGGGCAGAGCCCAGCGGCCTGGGTGCTGTAGGGGAAGGTGTTGGGTCCGACTGGGAGCCGGGGCTAGCGGCAGAGATGTCTGGAGTCCAGCGAAGACATCCCGAGACCCGGGGTGGATTCAGAGTCCACTGGCTCAGAGTAGTGCTTCCCCAGGCCCCACCCCGGTTCAGAGAGAGCGGAGACGGGGTGGAGGGCCCCGCGGTTCTGCCCACAGAGCTCTGGCCACCTCATGCCCTGGGGCTTGTCCCGCAGGCTCATGTACAAGTGCTCCTGCGAGATGATCTTCAACAAGAAGAGGCACATGCAGCAGCATTTTTACCAGAACGCCAGCCAGGCACAGGTGGGCGTGTTCAAGTGCCCCGAGTGCCCGCTCCTGTTCCAGCAGAAGCCGGAGCTGATGCAGCACGTCAAGGTGGGTGGCCTTGGGGGAGGAGGCCGAGAGGAGAGGAGGAGGGCGCATGCCTCAGGCCTTGGGGGAGGGGGGGTCTGACTCTGTGCCTCGTTCCCCTCGCCCAGTCAGTAACCGCTCTCCCCATCCCCAGAGCAAGCACGGCGTTCCCCGAAACGTGGAGGAGCTGTCAAGCCTCCAGTCGTCAGCAGACACGTCCTCCAGCCGCCCCGGTTCTCGAGTCCCCACAGAGCCCCCCGCCACCAGCGTGGCTTCTCGGGGCAGCTCCCTGCCGTCCGGCCGCTGGGGCAGGTCCGAGGCCCATCGCAGGGCTGAGGGCAAGCCCCGGCTGAGGAGCACCGGCTGGACCTGCCAGGAGTGCCAGGAGTGGGTTCCCGACCGGGAGAGCTACGTGTCCCACATGAAAAAGAGCCACGGCCGGGTGAGTGCCATCCCGGGTCACAGGGTCGCGCCGGGTTCTCTGGACTTCTCTCCCGTGGGGTCGGCGGCCCCTCACATGGCCAACCCCTTAGGGTTCCTGGTGCCCTGGGCAGGGTGGGTTCCACTGATGTTGAGGTCTGTGGGGCATCCTTTCGGCCCGTGTCTTCTGAGAAGGGGGGGCACACCCAGAACTCTCTCCTGTAGTTCTTTTTTTAAATGTATATTTTATTGATTTTTTTTACAGAGGAAAGGAGAGAGATAGAGAGCTAGAAACATCAATGAGAGAGAAACATTGACCAGCTGCCTCCTGCACACCCCCAACCGGGGATGTGCTTGCAACCAAGGCACATTGCCTCTGACCGGAATCGAACCTGGCACCTTCCAGTCCGCTCTATCCACTGAGCCAAACCGGTTTAAGCTCCCCTACAGTTCTGATGCTCCACTTTCTGTGACCCACAGACGCTGAAGCGGTACCCGTGCCGGCAGTGTGATCAGTCCTTCCACACCCCCAGCAGCCTGCGCAAACACATCCGCAACAACCACGACACCGTCAAGAAGGTCTACACGTGTGGGTTAGTCTCCGCGGGGGAAGCCGGGTGGTCTGAGGCCCAGAAAGACTGTCCATGGCGTCTCTCTATTCTTTTTTAAAAAATATTTTATTAATTTTTAACAGAGAGGAAGGGAGAGAAATAAAAACATCGATGAGAGAGAAACATCAATCAGCTGCCTCCTGCACACCTCCTACTGGGTATGTGCCCCCAACCAAGGTACATGCCCTTGACCAGAATTGAACCCGGGACCCTTCAGTCCGCAGGCCGACGCTCTGTCCACTGAGCCAAACCGGTTTTGGCCGTTTCTCTATTCTGAGATCAGCAATCAAAGGCAAGAGAAAAGCATGGGAAAGTGCTGTGGCTATTTCAGAAATCAGGGCAGGTCAGAACCAGCTCCCAGAACCTGGGGGCTTCTGAGGCCTCCCCCCTCCCGCTCCCCGAGCCCCGGCTGCACTGCCGGTCAGTGGGGAAGGGCCCTGGGGCTTACGAGGAGCGGCAGTGAGCCTGTGAGCCCGGCAGCACCACCTGCCTGTGCTCCAGCACATGCGCTGGCCTCATGCCTACCACCAGCCCAGTACCCGGACTCCTGGGCAGTGGTACCAGGCAGCGCAGGGTAAGCTCACGGCCGAGGGCCGGGGCACACATTCTGACCTGCTGTTGTCCATCACCGCGGTGGGCTCGCTGCCTAGAGTGCTCTGGGGAGTACCCAGCACTCCCTGCCAGCCCAAGGACCCCCCAGCCCGCTCTCTGTCTGCTCCAGGCTCTCCGCCCTGGAGTCAGAAGCAGCGCCAACCTCTGCCTGCCCACCTGGCTCCTCTGGGCACTGCGGCCTGCCATCTCACCCCATTTCACTGGCCGTCCTTCCGCAGGTATTGCACAGAGGACAGCCCCAGCTTTCCTCGGCCCTCCCTCCTGGAGAGCCACATCAGCCTTATGCACGGCATCAGAAACCCTGATTTGAGCCAGACGTCCAAAGTCAGATCTCCGGGCGGACATTCCCCTCAGGTGAGTGCGGGGCCCTTGTCTGCCAGAGCAGCTTGCTCAGTGGGACCCGGTGCCGGAGGGGAAGGCCACAGGGTGCCTGTTGGTCACTGTGGCCGTGTCTCTCCCCTGTAACTCCCCTCACTGTGGGCCGCTCTGAGCCAGTGTGTCCCCAGCTGGGACTGCACACAGGGAAGGCCAGGGACAGAGACCCGCGAGGCGACGCATTGCCTCTTGGTCCTGCTGCTTCCTTGCCGCTGGGAACCCTTCCTTAGGGGTGGGGTGGCTCAGTTTTGGGGGAGCTTCCTCACACACCCACCTGCTCCTGCCCTACTCCCACTTCTACACTGGTTGTGGGACCTGCTCTCCTGGACCCTTGTTCTATGTTGTTTGTTTGTTTATTTATTTTAAATATATTTTTATTGATTTCAGAGAGGAAGGGAGAGGGGGAGAGAGAAACATCAATGATGAGAGAGAATCATAGATGGGCTGCCTCCTGCATGCCCCCTGTTGGGGATCGAGCCTACAATCCAGGCATGTGCCCTTGACCGGAATCAAACCCGGGACCCTTCAATCCACAGGCTGACACTCTGTCCAGTGAGCCAAACCAGCTCGGATTGGGCTCTTGTCCTGTGACCTTGTCCCTGTTCAGGCCCATTTTGGTGAACGTCAGGGGCGGCCTGGCCTTCCTCTTCACTGTAGCCTCTTCCCACGCTGTGATGGGGGTTGTGCCTTAGAGGAACTGGCACCCCTGGGGAGCTGAGAGCTCCTGGAGGCCCAGGACCGTCCATCTGGGCTGTGCAGAGAAGGCCTCTCGCCGATCGGCAAAGGCCCTTGCCCACATGGCAGGTGGGGTGTTAGTTGGCGTTTTGGCAGCATCTGTCTGCGATTAAAACGCAACCCCTCCGCTGCCCTCCAAAAGCACCCCCCTGGATGCAGCCAGTCGGCTTCTTCGATTTATCTGTCCCGGTGTCTCTGGCCTTGGGCAGCAAGGAGTGTGTTCAGGAATGTTCCCTGCAGCACCGTGTGCATGGCAGACGGGGCGGACTGCGTGCCCGCCCGCGGGGACTGCTCTTCCCCACAGCGGGCTGCACGCTGTTGTCAGGAGAGAGTGACCCTGTCTCAGCCTCCTGGAGACAAGCGCCAGGCATGTTGAGCCGTGAAAAGAACAGGGCGGAGGCAAGCAATGCTATCATGGTGTAGAAGAGCAGCTTTGTTTTTTTTTTTATTTTTATTTTTTAAAATACATTTTTATTGATTTTTTACAGAGAGGAAGAGAGAGGGATAGAGTTAGAAACATTGATGAGAGAGAATCATCGATCGGCTGCCTCTTGCACACCCCCTACTGAGGATGTGCCCGCAACCAAGGTACATGCCCTTGACCGGAATCGAACCCAGGACCTTTCAGTCCGCAGGCCGACACTCTATCCACTGGGCCACACCGGTTTCGGCAGAGCAGCTCTGTCTTTGTGTACGTGTAGACTATCTCTTGGAGGAGCCCCAGAGCCCTGACAATCTCTGGAGAGCAGGCCCGGGGCGGGGGCCGGAGGGGTGTAATCTCTGTGCCCTTCCTGTATCTTTGGAATGTTGTGTCCCAGCAGACGTCACATTTAAAACAAAACCCCCAGACAAACCAAAGTCAAACAAGTGCTCGGGGCCGGGGTGACCCTGGCCTGGCGGGAGACTCTGCGAGGCCTTGGGCTGCCCGGGTCGTGGTCGGGGGCTCCTGTGTCTGACGCTGTGTCCCTTTCAGGTGAACCATCTGAAGAGACGGGTCAGCGGGGCGGAGGAGGATGCTCCCGGCACCGACAACGGCAAGGCCCCCTCGGCCAAGAGGCCCAAGCCCCTCTTCCAGTGCGCGAAGTGCAGCTTTGCCACGGACTCGGGGATCGAGTTTCAGAGCCACATACCTCAGCACCAGGTGGACAGCTCCACGGCCCAGTGTCCCTTCTGCGGCCTGTGCTACACCTCCACCGGCTCCCTCAGCCGCCACCTCTTCATCGTCCACAAGGTGCGAGACCAGGAGGACGAGGAGGAGGCGGCCGAGGCAGCGGAGGAGGCGGCCGAGCCGGAAGAGGGCTCCGGGGAGGAGGTATCCATGGAGACCAGGGAAAACGGACTGGAAGAATGTACCGGTGAGCCTTTGCCAGGCGACCCGGAGGCCAGGAGGTCGCCGGGCTCGGCCCCCGAGGAGGACATTATCCGAGACGCTCAGAGTCCACCGCTGGCCTCTCAGGACCAGGACAGCCACGCACCGTCCCCGCAGGTGTAACCGGAGGCCGGGTGGTGCTGTGGGTGCCGCACCCGCCGTGCGGACAGTGGAAAACAGGAGGCCCTGCCCTGCGTGCGTGGCAGGCTGTGCCCGGGAGCGGTGTCCGCCCGCCCTGAGCTGCGGGAGCTGGGCGTGCCCTGGCTCCAGGAGACGCGGGGCCGCCCGGGACCCTCACAGATCTGAATTTCTGTTATTTATGGCTTTGTGCTGCTTCTCAGAACCCCAACTCCTGTCTGTGTCCTCCCAGCCCAGTGCTGCCCGCTCCGCTTGGCCCCCTCCGCAGCTGTGCTCATTGGGGCTCCCCACCCGCTGCCTTTAGCTGGGGGACTTCCCGGCGCTCCGGACCTCTGGGCGGATGAGCCTGAGAACGGGGATGGAGGGGGCCCCTCGCCCATCCTCCCGGCCTTCTCTGGCTCTTTCCCCCAGGGTGGCCCCGGAGAACTGGCCGTCCCGCCGGCTCTCCGAGGGGATGGGAGACGCTCCGCAGCACACCTGCTCAGGCCCAGGCCGGCAGGCAGGCACTGAGGGCGGACCCTTCAGAAGGAACCTTGTCCGTGGCCGCCCTGCCTCTCCCGACCAGGGCGTTGGGGGCCCACAGACGTTGGGATATTTGTATTCTTGCTCCTGTGCCATTAGAGAGGCTGCTGCCCCAGGCAGGCCGGCCCCTCCTCCTCCTGGCTACACTCATGTTGCTCAGACTATATTTCAAATAAAAATCTTCTTACCATGCAGGTGGGCTCTTGTATTCCTCTCCAGGTGAGCCTGGCCCCACCCTGCTTCCCCCCCCCCCCCCCCCCCGAGGGCCTTCCTAGTCGCCCCTCATGTCCCATTGCTGCAGGAGAGCTGTGTCCCCCTGTCCACGGGGTCCTCTAGACTCTGGAGCTGTGATTGGGACACGGGGAGCCTGGGACTTCTGACTCTAGGACTTCTGAAGGGGTGAGGGAAGGTCTCAATGCCGGTCAAGAGTCACCTTCAAGGTCTCCCCTGAGCTCATGGCATTGGCTTGTGGGCCAGTTGGAATTTTCTGGGCACGTCCCTCTCTCCTCCAAATGGATTTTCAACCTAAGAGAAGCCTTCACTGGAGGGAGGAATTCTGTCATGTCCTTGCAGTGTCCAAGAGGCCTGGGATTGCCGCTGCCACAGGGAACTTGGTTGTGACAGACTTGTAATTAGATATGCCAGGCTGGGCTGCCTTTGCACTGACAGCAGCGTTAAGTCCTGACGCTGGAGGTGTGTGTGTGGGGTGTCCTCTGACCTCTGACCTATGGGGTTGCTGCAGTCCTGCTGGGTGGGATGTGCGACTGACTGACAGGGTCTAGCACAGCAAAAGGAAGTGAGTGCTGAAAGATCCCTTAGAGATGATCTTTCCAGGGAGGTATTGAACATCAGTTACACGTTACTAAGGTAGATAAACACGCACGACCTTTTCACAATGGAAAACAAAAATCATTCTCTTCCTCTGTCAAATGCCACATTCTCAGCGGAAACGCGAGTGGTGCTGGGAAAGGTTGGTGTCTGCCTCCGTTTCAGAGAGACTCCGCAGTTTCGTGACTGCTATAACCATTATTTAGTAATCCCGGTTGCAAAGCCCCTCACTGCACCGGCCCCACCCCTTCAAGACACCCACCCGACTTGCTTCCCCGGCTTTTTGTGAGATGATGAATGTGAAAGCATTTCTATGAAACACTAGATAAAGGTGAGGGATTCTTTTAAAAATATATTTGTATTGATTTCTGAGAGGGATAGAAATAGAAACATCAACAATGAGAATCATTGATTGGCTGCCGCCCCTCTGCCGGGGGACCAAGCCTACAATCCGAGCAGGAATGGAACCACTGAGCTACACCAGCCGGGTAAAAGTGAGGGATTCTTATTGTGACTTCAGAGCACCTTGCCTGCTGTTCACACTTGGACGCCAGTGGTCAGTTATGACCAAGCTGGGGCACCTCTCCCTTATTAAGAGCATTAAAATATATATATATATATTATTGATTTTGTACAGAGAGGGAGAGGAATAGAGAGCTGGAAACATTGATGAGAGAGAAACATCGACCAGCTGCACACCCCACACTGGGGATGTGCTCGCAACCAATATACATACCCTTGACCAGAATCGAACCCGGGACCTTTCAGTCCGCAGACCAACGCTCTATCCACTGAGCCAAACAGGTTTCGGCGACAAGAGCACTTTTAAGCCCTGCTCCCGTGCTCAGCATGTTGTTAAATGCCTTCTGGTGATTCTCATAGTCCTCACGATGATCCATCTCGCAGTTACACTTCCTTTCGCGGAGGAGAAAACAGGCGCAGAGATGTTCAGCAAGTCACCTGCACGCGAGGGTACTGAGTCAGGCTTGTCTGGCGTCTTGAGCCCGTGGTGTCAACTGCTGTGCCGCCTTCGTGACCTGGTGCTTTGGCCGGAGGCCAGCTTGTCGGGTTTGCAGCCATCCAGACATCCATCCACATGCCTCCCTCCCCTGCGGGGGGGAGTGCCAGGTTCTTTTTGGAGTCGGTCCGGGTGCCTCGTCACCCCAGGGAGAGCCCTGCACATCACATTGGCTTGTGACAGAAGCACAGGCGGTGTGGTGTCTCTGTGACCTTTGGTTCTCATCGGGATTGAACTTTCCATTCGAAGAGCGTCCTTCCGAGGGGAGGGGGCGTCTGGCCCAGAGAAGGCTGCCTAGTTCTCGTGGGGAACCTGGTTTCCTCAGGGTCCAATACCTTTTTAAAAATATATATATTTTTTTATTGATTTATTTTATTTTTTTTACAGAGAGAGAGAGGGATAGAGAGAAACATTGATGAGAGAATCATTGATCAGCTGCCTCCTGCACACCCCGCTACTGTGGATGTGCCCGCAACCAAGGTACATGCCCTTGACCGGAATCGAACCCGGGACCCTCCAGTCCGCAGGCTGACGCTCTATCCACTGAGCCACACGGGTCTCTGCTCCAATACCTTTTGATCTCTTCTTCTTCAAGGTGTTTTTAATGGCCGTGCTATCGTTTTTATCAGAAGCGGCTTGCCGTAAGAAAGCACTTACCTGCACATTTGCTGAAGTGCTCTCCTGATGAAGTTACACAGATAAAAATCCCCACCCGCCTAGAATCGACCATTTAACACATGCCGAGGCTTGACCAATGACTAGTATTTATTTTCCGGCCGCTTTATCTCTGTAAAATGATACGCTGAGTGACTATAAAGCTCGTTTGAGTGTGTGTAGAGATAACTGTTCCCTTCACGTATGTAAACAGTCTGGGTTTTGAAAACTTAACACTTGTGGCTCAGCAAGTCCAACCTGCAGACCCCCTTCCCCCCTGCCTGCCCTTTCACCACTGCGTATCCAGCACTGAGCACACTTTATTTTACTCGTTTTTAAAATGTTTGTGTGTTTTGAGAAATGACTGCATATTCCACGGTAAGACATTCAAACAATACAGAAGAGTATCCAATGGGGAAAAAAACCCAAAAACGTAAGCTTCCCTCTCCGGAATGAATTGCTGTTATCTATTCTCTCGTGTATCCTTCCTGAGCAATTCTATGGATTTGCAACTTTATAAATATGTATATTTATATATCTATTTTGAATACAAGTGGTAGCATTCTACATGAAGTGTTCTGAAGCTTGCTTTTTTTTTTTTTTTTTTTTTTTTTAGTTATATAATGGAGATGGTTCCAGATTCATCTCGTGGGTCAGTCTAATTTTTTTTTTCCAGTCTCATATATTAAAAGTCCCTAGCACAAGGTCCTTGCATTTAGTCGCAGTTCAAAGAGTGTTAGAGTAAGTGAGTGAATGAATGCTTGAGTGGAAAAATTAGATTTTTCTCAGGGTCTGATCTGAGCAAGACAGGATCCTCTAGATTCTAGAACATACCCCTTCCTCCCCCCCCCCCCCCCCCGCCTTCTCTAAGAGAATCAGGACATGTTGACCTTTTCTGTCATCTGACAGCAGCCTTGGGAACTGGGGGCCGGGCCCCAAGTCCCAAGTATGAGATTTCTTTGAGGTCCTTATTAAAACTTGAGTTTTCCTTTGGAAAATGATATAGAATGATTAGAAGAAATAAAAAAAAAAAGCACATTTATAATCCCGTCTTACCTTTGCATTTGTTTTTATTTTGTATATCACCTTTCAATCCTTGTTTAGTTAACAGCTAACTTTATGGTATAATTATGATAATGTCAGTGCTTAACAGAACATGTCTACATGTCAAACATTCTTCTTACATTCGTTTTCTTACTTAGCCTTACGAAGATTCTATGAGATAAACGCTACTTTTATTTTTTGGAGGTTCAGAGTGGTTGAGTAATTTCCCTACAGCCAAGGAGTGAGGGAAGGGGCAGAGCTGGGATTCACTCAGGTGTGAATGAATTCCATTTACTGCACTGCCTTGGATTTTGTACCCTGCTTTTTTACATTTAACTTAAAAAAATTTTTTTTTTTCTATAGAGAGGAAGGGAGAGGGACAGAGAGCTAGAAACATCAATGAGAGAGAAACATTGGTCAGCTGCCCCCTGCACTCTCCCCACTGGGGATGTGCCCGCAGCCAAGATACATGCCCTTGACCAGAATCAAACCTGGGACTCTTGAGTCCGTAGGCCGATGCTCTATCCACTGAGCCAAACCAGCCAGGACTCTCCATAGTCTTTTAATCACCATATTCAATAATTGTAATAATTTTCAAATCAATGTAATGTACTTACCCACTTCCAGTCCCACTTTATCACTGGAGGGAATGGAGCTGAGCTTTTTCTGCAGAAGTATTTCCTTGATATTTATCCCTATTTTTAAAATCTTATTTATTTATTTTTAAAATACGTTTTTATTGATTTCAAAGAGGAAGGGAGAGAGAGAGAAACATCAATGATGAAAGAGAATCATGGATTGGCTGCTTCCTGCATGCCCCCAACTGTGATCGAGCCCACAACCTGGGCATGTGCCTTTGACTGGAATTGAACCCAGGACCCTTCAGTCCGCAGGCTGACATTCTATCCACTGAGCCAAACCAGCTAGGGCTATTTATTTTTATATTCTTACTATTTTTAAAAATATATATTTCCTTTTGTTTTTCATATTCCTATTTCTCCTAAATAAACTCACAGGCAGTGGGACAGAATGATGAAATCAGAAGCTAGGTTTCAGTCTGGGCTCTGTAACTAAGTCATCTGATCTCTCTTGGCCTCAGTTCCTGCATCTGTCAAATGGGGAAGAGGGGGGTGAAATTTTTGGGAACCTTGGCTGGCTAGATTTTTATCTTCTTGAATATATTTATGGCAAATAGGGGACATCTCAAAGGCAAGAACTCTTACTAAATTTCTTTTGTTGTCTTATTTTTTTATTTATTGGCCTAGATATATCCTCAAATGGGAAAGATCCCTCCTACTTTGCCCCCTTCCCCCAAGGCAGTATCATTTTTAATTTGCACTTATTTATATTTCAATTTGCATTACATGTTTGCTTCTTCAGATAGTTTGAACTCTTTTATGAACACCTATTACTTTTGGCTTTTCTCAAGCTTTTCCAAGCTTGAACTGTTTACTTGATAATTCTCAAACATCTTCAAATCCTTCTGCTACTCAGATCTCTATTAAGTAGGGACCTAGGTCCAGATCAAGCATGTCAAACTCACGGCCTGAGGGCCACATGCCTCATTTATTCGGCACGTGTTAGCCTCTGAGTTTGACATGTTTGATCCAGATGAATTCTTGAGCTAGTTCAGTGGGTTATGCATTATGGCCTTTTAAAATGCTCTATTAAAAAAAAGATTATTATTTGCAAATGGAACTTTTAGTGCTAACAAATACTAACAAATCAACACACGTGTCACTGCATGGAGAATGAAGCAGAAGGATATGATAGTCATTTAAGTCACTTCTCACCAGGAGAAGCCCCCCATTCTGTGGTATCTAAGAAGCTCTTTGCCTAAGAAGAAAGTTTTTTATTTCTACCCTAGACTGGCTCTGAGGAGGGATTTGAATATGATTTTTTTTAAAAATTGATTTCAGCCCTGGCTGGTTTGGCTCAATGGATGGAGCGTCAGCCTGCAGACTGAAGGGTCCCGGGTTTGATTCAGGCCAAGGGCACATGCCCGGATTGTGGGCTCGATCCCCCGTGGAGGGCTTGCAGGAGGCAGCCAGTCAAGGATTCTCTCTCATCATTGATGTTTCTATCTCTCCCTCTCCCTTCCTCTTTAAAAATCAATAATATATAGATATTTTTAAAAAGTGATTTTCCTGCTGTGTGGTTCAGGGAACAACAGAATGAAAATAAAAAGAAAAATTGATTTCAGAGAAGAAGGGAGAGGGAGGGAGATAGAAACATCAATGATGAGAGGAATCCTTGATCGGCTGCAACCTGGACATGTGCCCTTGACTGGAATCGAACCCGAGACCCTTCAGTCTGCAGGTGGAGGCTCTATCCACTGAGCCAAACCAGCTAGGACTGAATATGATTTTTTCAAAAAAATATTTTTTTTTATTTCAGAGAGGAAGGGAGAGGGAGAGAGAGAAACATCAATGATGAGAGAGAAGCATGGATCGGTTGCCTCCTGCACGCCCCACACTGGGGATGGAGATTGCAACCCGGGCATATGCCCTGATGGAAACTGTGGCCAAAACTGGTTTGGCTCAGTGGATAGAGGATTGACCTGTGGACTGGAGGGTCCCAGGTTCGGTTCTGGTCAAAGGCATGTACCTTGGTTGCGGGCACATCCCTAGTGGGGGGTGTGCAGGAGGCAGCTGATTGATGTTTCTCTCTCATCGATGTTTCTAGTTCTCTACCCCTCTCCCTTCCTCTCTGTTAAAAAAATCAGTAAAATACATTACATATATAAAAAAAAGAAATTTAACTGTGACCTCCTGGTTCATAGGTCAATGTGCAACTACTGAGACACGCTGGTGGGGCTGGATATGATTTCTGAACGGGAAAAGGAGAGGAGGCCAGGTGGGGGCAGTGGGAAGGTGATGGTAAGGAAAAGAGTAGAAAGTTGTGGAGACACGGCACTCAGAAATTGGTGAATGAGTATTTTTTTCTGGACTCAGCCCATGTCACCAAAACAGGTGCTGGGAAATAGAGGCTGGAGGGGTGGGAGGAGGAGGTTTCCGGAAGGGTGTGTTGAGCCCCTCATCTGTGCTAGGCAATGGAGGGAAAACACATAGCCAGCCAAAACCGGTGTGGCTCAGTGGATAGAGCATTGGCCTGCGGACTGAAGGGTCCCAGTCAAGGGCATGTACCTTGGTTGCAGGCACATCCCCGGTAGGGAGTGTGCAGGAGGCAGCTGATTGATGTTTCCAACTCTCTATCCCTCTCCATTCCCCTTTCCATTCCTCTGTGAAAAACCAATAAAATATATTTAAAGAAAAAAAAAAAAGACACGTAGCCAGAGGACGTGTGGCCCCCGAGGGTGCTGAGGGTGCTGACGGGAGCGGGTTTGTCCCAGGGCTGGACCCACAGCCCCTGCACCCGGAAGGAAACCTGGCCGTCCGGGCACCTAGCAGCGTCCTGCCCCTTGGAACTTGGGCACCTTCCGCTCACCCAGGCCTGGAGCCCGCGCCTCTGCGTCTGCGTCTGCGAGGCTCCACGCAGCGGGGCGGGGAGGGGTTGGCCACGGGGGTCTCCAGGACGCGCCCCTGCCGCGATGCAGGGCGACCCCGCGGTGGACGTCAGGTGTTGCTGAGGTGCTTGCCTTCGGGGTCTCCAGAACGCGCCCCTGCCCCGACGCCGGGTGACCCCGCGGTGAACGTCACGTCACGGAGGGAGCAGCCGTCGCCCTTGCTTAAACGCTGGACGACCCCGCGGTGCGAGTTGCTGAGGGAGCACTCGCCTCCGAGGTCTCTAGAGCGCGCCCCTGTCCCGACGCCGGGCGACCCCACGGTGGACGTCGGGCAGCGTTGCCGACGGAGCGGCCGTCGGGTTTTTCAGGGCGCGCCCCTGCCCAACGCCGGGCGGCCCCTCGGTGGTGGACGTCGGGCGTCGCTGAGGGAGCACTCGCCTCTGAGGGAGCAGCTGATTTCAGGGTCTCTAGAGCGCGCCCCTGCTCAACGCCAAACCACCCCGTGGTGTGCGTTGCTGAGGAAGCGCTCGCTTCCGGGGTCTCGCGCCTCTGTCCTCACACCGGGTGACCCTGCGGTGGGCGTGGAGCAGCCACTGAGGGAGCAGCCGCTGAGGGGTCTCAATTGCGCGCCCCTGCCCCCGACGCCGGGTGACCCCGCGGGTCCACGGACGTTGGACGTTGCGGAGGGAGCCGCCCCTGAGGGAGCAGCTGCCGTGGTCTCTAGAGCGCGCCCCTGCCCTGACGCCCCGACGCCCCGACGCCCTGACGCCCCGACGCCCTGAGACCCCGCGGTGGACGTCGGGAGTCGCGGAGGTGCTGGAGCAGCCGCTGAGGGAGCAGCCCCTGAGGGGTCTCTAGAGCGCGCCCCTGCCCTGACGCCGGGCGACCCCGCGGTGGACGCCAGACGCGTCGCCCACGGAGCAGCCGTCGGATTTTCCAGGGCGCGCCCCTGCCCCGACGCCGGACGACCCCGTGGGGGACGTCGGACGCGTCGCCGACGGAGCAGCCGTCGGGTTCTCCAGGGCGCGCCCCTGCCCCGACGCCGGACGACCCCGTGGGGGACGCCAGACGCGTCGCCCACGGAGCAGCCGTCGGGTTCTCCAGGGCGCGCCCCTGCCCCGACGCCGGACGACCCCGCGGGGGACGTCGGACGCGTCGCCGACGGAGCAGCCGCAGTGGCCCCTCCGGCCGGGCCCGCCGGGGGAGGGACAGCGGCAGGTGACGGCCGCCGGGGCTATAAATAGGGGCGCGCGTCAGCCGCGGGCGGATCGGGCGGCGGCGCTGGGCCGGAGGGCGCGCGGGGCCAGGCGGGCGGCGGCGGCGGCGGCGGCGGGGCAGCAGCATGGGCTCCCGGAGGGCCCCCAGCCGGGCCTGGGGCGCGGGCGGCGGCCGGGCCTGGGCCCGGGGCGAGCGCGAGGACGACGGCCCCGTGTGGACGCCCAGCCCCACCAGCCGCAGTTACCTGCTGGGGGTGCGGCCGGAGACCAGGTGAGCGGCGCCCTGCGGGGTCGGGGCGGGCGGGGCGGGAAGGGTAAGATGGGGGCACTGAGGAGGCCTAAGCGCCTGGGAACGGAGGGGGGGGGGTAGCGGGCCTCCGTGGCCTTCAGGTCCCCTCAGGCTCCTCCCGGCCCCTCACAGCCCGTGGGCCTCAGGCCTCACGCCACTCGAGGCTCCAGAAGAGAGACAGGGCTTTCTTGGGGCGATTTCACAGGGGCCCCCAAGGCCCCTTGCCTGACTCCCGCCCTGTGGGTGGCCCCCCGCGCCCCACACTGGCTGCTCCTGCCTCGGCCTCGGATTCCACAGGGAGAGATAAGGAAGCCCGAGAGCGAGAGCCTGAAATTCCTCAGGCTGGAGGGAGGGGAAGCGGACACCAGGTGGGAGGTCGGGAGTGGGGGCTCTGAGCTGGGGGTTGGGGTCACCGGGTGGAAATAAACCAAAGCCAGTGAGGTTCTTCCTATGGGCCCAGGATTCTGCAAAGTTTCCCCGGGGATCTTTGTGGAGGGGTGGGAGGGGGTGGGGTGGTGAGGTGAGGGGGTGAGCTGGGATGCTGGTTGGCCCTGTCTGAAGATTGCCCTGCCCAGTTTTGGGGAGCAGGGAGCTCAGGGAGGAGCCGAACTGATGTGCCCTTGACTCCTTTTCGGGAGTCCCAGAGGTGTGGGGTGCTTTGTTTTAGGATCTGTGTCATCACCCCAGGTCTAGAGAGACACAGGCAATGGAGGAGCAGGCAGGCACTCAGGAGGCACGCAGACACACAGGGACACGTGCATTGCCATGGAGATGACCCTTCCCGACCCCATCCGGGCAGCTCAGTTTCCCTCCCACTCCGGAGCATATTTTCCAGAGGGAATGGCGAAGGTTGGCCCCAGAACCTGGGCTTTGTGGTCGTGCAGAAAGCAGCCAGCTCGGGGGAAGCTGCCCGGACACCTCTCTCTTTGTTCTCAGTTCCCGAAACGGCACCAAAACAGGGCACCAAGGACATTTAGGAAAAAGTCCCAGGCACTTCCTCGTGAATTGGCTGCGTTCTGGTGACCTTGGAGTTGGAAAAGTTCAAATGTAACCGGAACCTGTTTCTGCATAAAACTCGTCAAATGGTATCACATGTCTGGGGCAGGGCCGAGGGCTTGTGTTAGGGACTGAGTCAGACTGGACACGGCCCCTGGCTGCCAGGAAAGAATGCCCCCTCGCTCCTAAGTCCTGGCTCTACCAAAAACACTGGCATTCCAGCCCGTGGGGAAGCTGACTGCCTTGTGGACACCTCACACTTGTCTCACACTCGTCACAGTGTCTGGCCTTTGTCAGTACCCATGGAACAAGTAGGAGAGAGAAGCAGGGTCTTTCTTGGAGACAGAAGCATTGGAGGGAGGGTGAGGGGGAAAGGGTGGTTTCAAAACCAGGCAGAATGGGGGGGGGTGTGGGGGCAGGGGTCTGGGTTGTTAGGGAAAAGGCTGGAGAGTGGACATCATGCTCACTATCCAGCTGCCCGGCCGAGCAGGAGTCTTGGCTCAGGTCTAGAACCTCCCCTTCCCACAGCCCCTGGCCCTGGAGAGGTTTCTAGTCCATAGTCAGCTCAAGGGTATTTCTAATGTCCCCTGGGGTCAGAGATCCAACATATAAACAGTCCCACCAAACTGTAGGCCCAGCCTCCTAGGGAGCCCAGCCTCTAGAACTTCGCCCTATAGGCAGGTTAGGTTAGGGGAGGTTAAGACACTACAGTGGGATGGATGCAATTACAGCTGCCTCATTTCTGAGGGACAATCAGAAGTTCCAGAAGTCCTTGCCCCCTCATTTCTTGGAGGCCCTGGTCCAACCAAGTGAGCTCAGAGGAGCAGCAGGACCTGTGATGTTTGCTACAGATGACTTTGTAACACCTGCTTTGCTTAGGGTAGTCTAGGGCTTTCAGATCAGGACTTTCCAAGGGCCCTTTATGGCCCCAAATATCTGAAAGCCAGAAGGATGGGAGGCCTCCAGTTTCCATGGCCAGGCCTGGTTCTCTCCAGGCCCGATTCTATTTTTATGAAGAGACATTTCCTTCCTGAGCCCTGAGTTTTCCATTCTTTACAGTTAAAGTGACATTAAGAGCCCCTTTAGGCCTTTCTGCCCCAATCCTTGACATCTCTGATTCTGACCCATCAGAGCCAGTAAATGAGAAGTTCCCTGCCTGTGAGAGCCCTGAAGGTCAGCAGGGCAAAGTCATTCTTCCACCTTCTGAAGACACGGTGCCTCCATCACCCAGGATTCCTCTGATCTGGTGGATATCTATGGGTGGGCCCCAGAGAAAGCAGGACAATGGGGTGAGGGAGCAGAAACTTGCAACCAGCCCCCAAGAGAGAACCAGGGAGGGTCCCTCTCCCAGCTGAGTGCCTCGCCCACTTGCAGGTGGAAGCTGTGGAACCTGTCATTTTCCCCCTGCAATTTAGATGATTCTCTCCCTCTACTTCTCAGGGAAGAAATCCAGACCCAACAAAGGAGAAATCTTACTCGATTCTGAGGAGAAAGACAAAGGAAGTTCATGGTCAGGAAATGATGGAGTTGGCCAGTGCCTCGGAACCATGGGAGATTCCTCCCACGCTGTCTCGAGAGGATTTTTTAAAGCTCTGAGCAAAGACAGCTGCATTCTTGCTTTCTCCTTCCCATCTTTTCTGGAGCAGCAGTTCCTTCTGGGAGGCAGGACCTTTCCTGCTTGAAAGATGCACTTCCCTTCTTTCCTCCCCTCCTCTTCCCTTCCCCTGTTTCTTTATTCCATTCAACAGTTGTTGAATACCCACCGTATGCCTAGCACTGTGCTAGGGGCTGTGGAAACCACAAAAAGATCTGGGTTTGAAGGCTGGGTGGGCAGGATTTAGTTGAACAGAAGGAAAGAAGAAGGGCTTTGCAAACACGGAGGACAAAAGTAAGGTGACCAGACGTCCCGCTTTTGGCGGGACAGTCCCGATTTTTGGGAAGAATCTTTTAAATCTTTTGGAATTTTTAAAAACGCCGCGGGACATGGGACAAATTGGTAAAAATCGACTGTCCCGCCAAAAGCAGACGTCTGGTCACCTTAGACAAAAGGAGTCCAGTAATGGCCATGTCATGCCAGTTAGGAACAGGCCTGGTTACAGTAGAACCTGACTAAGTGTTGGAAATCAGAGAACCATGGCTGCAGTGCGAGTGTGAGCAGATCAGGGAGGGGCCTAAGTGCCCAGCCAAGGAGTAGAGACTCAATATAATATATGGTGGGGGGGACTGTAGCTTTTTATTTTTATTTTTCAGAGCAGGGGTGTGGTGTGAGGGGTGAAGGAGAAGGGGGTTGAGGTGGTCATCAGCTATAGAGCCATGAGGGTCTAGGTCAGAACACAATAGCTGGAGTAGCCAGAAAGGGAGAAAGAAGGGCCAAGAAGTGTTGATTGACTGAACTTGGTGGTTGAAGGGGAGAGAGGAGTCCAGAATGGCCTGGGTTAGAATTCCTGAGTTTGGGTGAGTGCTGGTGCTATCCACAAACCCACTGGAGTGGAAGCCAGGTTTTTTGGATAGAGAGGACGAGTTTGGCATTTTGGGTAGAAAGAGAGAGGCTGGCCGAAATCATTTTTGGCTCAGTGGTAGAACGTCGGTCTGCGAACTGAAGGGTCCCAGGTTCGATTCCGGACAAGGGCATGTACCTGGGTTGTGGACACATCCCCAGTAGGGTGTGTGCAAGAGGCAGCTGGTCAATGTTTCTCTCTCATCGGCGTTTCTCTCTATCTCTCTCCCTTCCTCTCTGTGAAAAATCAATAAAATATATATTTAAAAAAAGAAAGAAAGAAAGAGAGAGGCTGCCAGTGGAGCTTTCTTGTGGTGAAAGATGTACACCTGAGTGCCATTGAGCAGGCGGGGCTGCTGACAATGAAGGGAGGGCTGTTCCCATGGTAGGGACAGCGGCAAGGAGTGAGTGTGGATGGGGTGGCCCCCGAGGTCTCCCAAAGAGCTGAGGGAGGTGGTGGACCTAGACTTCACTGGAGATATTTGTGTCAGGAAGGAGGAGGGAGAGCTAAAAGTTGGCTCATGTCTAGTGGCCTGGATCTCCACTATGGGACAGCCCTAGGTGGGTCCTCCTCACCAGCCAGTGGCCTACACAGCCCCTAGCTAGTGCCCACTCTCAGCTGCCCGGTGGCAGAGGGATGATCAAGGCTCTAGGCATAACGGCCCTTGTGCTGGTCTGACTGAACTGGGCGCCTCCTGGTTCCTGCTGAATTAACTGCTTTGTTTATTTCCTCATCACTGTCCCGGCTGATTTGCCTCGTGTGGCCTCTTTAACCGAATTTTAACACATTAATGGGTTTTCTCCAAGTCCCCTGAATCCTCCCCAGCCTATGAGGGGGTTTCTAGAAATGGGGGTTCTTTTCCCTCAAAAGGCTGAGGGTTGCCGAAACCGGTGTGGCTCAGTGGATAGAGCGTTGGCCTGTGGACTGAAAGGTCCCAGGTTCGATTCTGGTCAAGGGCATGTACCTTGGTTGCGGGCACATCCCCAGGAGGGGGTGTGCAAGAGGCAGCTGATGGATGTTTCTCTCTCATCCATGTTTCTAACTCTCTATCCCTCTCCCTTCCTCTCTGTAAAAAAATCAATTAAAAAATAAGATAAAGGCTGAGGGTTGAAGCAGAGCTGCCCCGAGGATGCTATGCTGCGGGTGGAGAACCGTGCCAGGCAGCTCTAAGCCTTTTCTCAGGGACCATGACTGAAGAGCCTGGGACACAACTTTCTCAAAGCGCAGGCCTCATGGGCTTCCTTTCTGCCTAACCATCTCCCCGGACTCTGCTGCATTTAGTGCGCTCTTGGTTTCAGAGAGACCGGTGTCTGGTGGTGAGGCCACTTGCTAACCGGAACAGGCCAGCTAAGACAGCTGGTCCCTTTTAATAGAAAGGCCTCTGGGGTGTAGGTGATGGCTGGTTAATACTTTGCAGACTGTTGATCTCGCCTCCCCCAACCTCCTTGCTTTTTTGGCCTAATGATTCCATTTGCTGTTTTTGCTTAGCTTATCAAGCAGCCGGTTGTCTCTCCCCAGCTCTGGAAGGTAAATGCACTTTGCATTACATTTCTCTGACGTGCCTTTTTCTCTTGGGTATGGACACTGAGGGGCCCTTGGGTGACTGCTTGTGCACTGCTCACCAGGCTGCATGGCGTGAGGGGAGGGCTGGAGGGTGGGTGGTGGAGGATGTGAGAGATTGTTGCGTGAGCATGGGTTTCACAGGGGCCACATATGATGCTTGCATGGACCATTTGAAAGGGGCACAGGGACCCAGAAGTAGGCATGGGTTCTGAGATGCCTGCACTACATCTCTGTGCACTTGGGAGAGGCATCATGGAACCAGAACAGGGAGCCACCGGTCATGTGACCCACTTCTTCATCTTAGGCTTTCATGGCTTTTGTAACCACACATCTAGGTTTGACACCTCATTATCTATCTTCTAACCATGGCTATTGCCTTACATTTTTTGTCTTCAGTCACTTAAGTCCTCCTGCCCCCTCTCATTGTGAATTTCCCATTCCTTTGGCTTCTCTATACCCATGCAGACTATGAACTCTGTGAGGTTAGTGTATTCCTGCATTAGCTTGTTCTCTGAATCTGCTGCAGAGCCAGAGCAGGGCCTGAGCAGGCCACAGATGGGGTTTGCCCATTGAATGACTGCCTCCTGAGCTGGGAACAGCTCCTTACCCCTGACTATTATAATCAATTGGGAGCATTTCCTGACTATTCCCACCACTTGGACCTCATCCCAGACTGGTAGATTGAGGGAGTTTGCTATAATTTCTTTAAACTGAGAAGGATTTCTAAGTAGCTAACTGGTCTGAAAAGCTAATAATGTCTACAGAGGTGATTGGTACCTACCATGTAGCTTTCCTTTGATGGGGAGGACATCCTTTGAACATTATGTAAACCACTGATTCTGGTTCTCTAGAACAGTGGTCACCAACCGGTGGACTGTGGACCACTAGTGGTTCGTGAGGTCTGAAAGATTGGTGGCTGCTGCTCTAGAGAATAGATGGTGAGGCTGTGATTGCCGTACAAAGTCACAGAGTTGGAAGGACTTACAGGTGTCAGGGTGAGAAAAGACCAGTTTCAGGTGTGTGGACTTCCTGGAAGCACACTGACTCCATCCCATGTTAGAGTGGTTAGGAAGATGGGGTCAGAAAGCATGTGACCTTCAGTGGCACATGACAGTGTCTGCAGTTACTGTCCCCTAACATGCATCCAGACCCATTCCCTAGAGGGCCTCACCCAGGCATGCCCTCCAGCAGTTCCCATGATTTTCCAATTTAAACATATTTTTTAAAACATAGTTTAGGACCTAGTGTGGAAAGTTTGGGGAGATGTGTTTTTTTCCCCCTTCACAAAAAGTAATAACACAAAAAGACTACCTGTTGTTGAGTATCTAGCTTGAGTGCTTGTCTCTGCAAATTTTCTTGAAGCTTGATTCCCATGTTTTCTTTCTTACTCAATAGTTGAAATTATTTTCTTAATCTTGCTCAAGGAGCTTCATCCTAAGAGCCTAAGCTGAATATTACATCCAGGCTCATGTTCATGAGTAAGATAGGATTCAAACTGAGCAGGGAGGACATAATTAGGAATGTTTTGAATTAGTTGCAAAATCATAGAAATATGATTGCTTTTGGCATGGCAGTTTCCTCTAGAAACCGTTGGCTGGGATTTAGTATTCCCCAAAGTCAGAAATTGCTGTTAGTACAAGAACAGCAAGAAATGTTTTCCGATGTTATATTTCCTGAGTGTCAGGGAGTTGACAGGCTAGGTCCTGATGGACCCTCTGTTTTTGAGTGGATTAAAGGAAAAGAAAAAGACACTTACTAGACAGAGGAGTTGTAGGTGATTATGTTGCGGGGAGTGTCTAACTGAGACCTCAAGTGTTCAGTTATTAGAGGTCAGTCTTTGTGGGGAGGACTCCTGTTCTCCCCGAAAGTATGGGCATCTGGATTCCTATAGAGACTCCATGGCTGCACCCATCAGTCTAGAAGTCTTACTTGATTTTAGATATTCCTCTTGGAATGCTTCCTTTCTCCTCAAACTCAAGTCCAGAATGATCTCCGCGGAAATGACAAATTGAATGTGAAAGGTATAGGGATGTAGTTCTTGTTTGCTTGTTCCCACAGACTCTCACCCTGCCTGCTCCTGGTAGGAGAGATCATGGGGAGACACACCCACTGCCTGTGGGTGACCACCCCCTCCTCTGAGGCACAGAGAAAGGCAGCTTTGAATGATTTGTCTTTTTCATCACAGTGCTTACCGCTTCTCTTCACTTTACCCCTCACAGTCCTCACCGCTGCTCACAATGGGGTGTGTAAATTGGGGGGGGAGAAAGGCTGGGCACAGCTTGTGTTCCATACCACCTGGCTATGTGGTTACGCTTCACGCTTAGGGACGCACTGAGTCTCTGCTGGCCCATGAAAAGGTCTGGCACAGTGGTTTGCTTCCTGTGCCCAGGAAGGAGAGGACTATAAATGCTGAGCAGTGTTGGTGAGTCTGCGCTGGACTCAATGAGCCCACAAATGCCTCTGAATTCTGCGAGTTGGACTGCCACAGGGAACTAAAAGTCCTGTTTGCAGTTTGGCAGTCCTGCTGGTTGGTCTTGGAGCTGCCAGCCATGTGTTCACTTGAGCATGTGGTTTCCAGGGATGGAGCAGGGGGCCATGGCTGGCTTACCACCACAGGTCCATAGCTCTGTTTAGGGTCAGAATTTATTTAAGTCTCTCTTTCAATACCCTTAGGAACTTGGGTCTAGACCCGTGGTCGGCAAACTGCGGCTCACGAGCCACAGGCGGCGCTTTGGCCCCTTGAGTGTGGCTCTTCCACAAAATACCACGGCCTGGGCGAGTCTGTTTTGAAGAAGTGGCGTTAGAATAAGTTTAAGTTTTAAAAAATTTGGCTCTCAAAAGAAATTTCAGTCGTTTTTACTGTTGATATTTGGCTCTGTTGACTAACGAGTTCACGGACCACTGGTCCAGACCCCTGGCATTGGCTGGCTTATTCTTTGTCTGCTATGGGTCTGTGCTTGCAAATGCAGGCTTCCCTCTCCCCCACCAATCCCAAGCTTTAGAATAGGCTCCTGAGCTCCTAGGACCCATGTATCTCTGAGAGTTGGCCAGCTTTTCCCTCTCTGGCATGAGTGGAGGATCTGCTATGCTGAGGTCTCCCTCTCTGAGGCTGGGTCTATACATGCACGAGCTTCCATGGAGGCGAAAGGTGGAGGGTGAAGCAAGGCCCCTAATAAGGATGGGGTGGGACGCCAGGCTGGTGACTGGCATGCTCAGGAGTCTGGCCTGTGGTCACAAGGCTTCCTATTATAAAGGGTCTGGGTCAGGATTCCCTTTAGCCCTTGGTACCTCGGCTGTCCCCATCTGACGAAGAGGCCTAGGCTTCCTTGAAGAAACTTAGTTAAGTGCCGGCCATGGCCCCAGGATGACGCATGGAAATGGTAAGATCTAAGCCGCCTCGGGCTACACCAGGCTGTGGCATATTGTGGGGAGGCTGCTCTGAATAGTCCTTTGCCTTTCCTAGGAGCACCTTCTGCTCCATCATTGCTCAGCTCACAGAGGAGACCCAGCCAGTATTCGAGACCACACTCAAGTCCCAAGCTGTGTCCAAGGACAGCGACGTCAGGTTCACCTGCATCATCACAGGTAACGTGTCCATCCACAGGCTGAGTCCCGGGGGCTGTGGGATGGATGTGGGGGGGGATTGGCCTCATGCACAAAATTATGCACATTGACATTTGTCTTCTTAGTTTTTCTCTCCAGTTTAATCACCCTATGTCAGCTGGGGTCCCTTTCACCTCCCATTCTGGAGCCATATATACACTCTGCCCTTCTTTCTTTTCTTTTCTTTTTAAAAAAATATATTTTATTGATTTTTCACAGAGTGGAAGAGAGAGGGATAGAGAGTTAGAAACATCGATGAGAGAAAATCATCGATCAGCTGCCTCTTGCACACTCCCTACCGGGGATGTGCCCGCAACCACGGTACATGCCCTTGCCTGGAATCGAACCCAGGACCCTTCAGTCTGCAGGCCGATGCTCTATCCAATGAGCCAAACCAGTCCCGGCCACTCTGCCCTTCTTCAAAACCCATCTTCAATGAAGGTTCCTCACCTTCAAGCATATACATACGCGACTGATGAATCTTAGTTCTAAGGAAAAAGGCAATTCAGTTGAAAGAAGTTTTTGAAACCATCTCTCCCCCAAATCCCTTTTTTACAGATGAGTAGTTTGAAGCTTGGGAATCCCAAGCCTATAGACTATTGTATAATGATTCTGACTGCAGATCTTGGAGGCTTTCCCCCTTTTCAGTCATGTGATACTGAGTAGGTTACATAACCTCTTAGTGCCTCATCTGCAAAGTGGGGAATGATAATAATATGAACTTTACAGTGTTATTATGAAATGAAATGCATCAACACCTGCAAAGCATTTGGAATAGTATCAAGCATACAGTAAGTACCATATAAGTGTTAGAACAGAAGGCCATTATTATTTGCATTTCACTGAGCTCCCTGATAGGATCTGAAGCCACAGGTTGGTAAAATAGGAAGCAAAGTGATGATCCTTAGAAGGGGAGGGTAGAGGAGTGAGAGTACTGGAAAGCTGGACCAGGCATTGCACCTCCCTCAAACCTCTCAACAGAGTCTCTCACCTGACCCACTTCAGGTCCCACAGGACTCACCAATAGATGCCTACCCCTCTGTGCAGCCAGCTGTGCAGCCAGCAATTCAAGGGTTCTAGGTCAAGGTTCCCTCCACAAGCACATATTTTATTATTATTATTATTTAATTTTAAAAAATATATTTTATTGATTTTGTACAGAGAGGAAGGGAGAGAGATACAGAGTTAGAAACATCGATGAGATTGAGTCATCAATCAGCTGCCTCTTACACACTCCCTACTGGGGATATGCCCGCAACCAAGGTACATGCCCTTGACCGGAATCTTCAGTCCCCAAGCCAACACTCTATCCATTGAGCCAAACCGGTTTCGGCTATTATTTAATTTTTTAAAATTTTTATTGTTGAAAGTATTACACATGTCCCATTTTTTTCTCCCATTGGCCCATTATAGCCTGTCCCCCCTTCCCGCCCCAGGCCTTTCTCCCCCTATTGTATGTGTCCATGGGTTATGCCATATGCGTACAAGTTCTTTGACTGACCTTTTCCCACCAACCTTTGTCCTCTCTCTGAGATTCTATAGTCTGTTTTGGCATGGCAGTTTCCTCTAGAAACCGTTGGCTGGGATTTAGTATTCCCCAAAGTCAGAAATTGCTGTTAGCACAAGAACTGCAAGAGACGTTTTCAGATGTTTTATTTCCTTCTATGTCTCTGGATCTATTTTGTTCAGCAGTTTATTTTGTTCATAAGGTTGCACATATGTGTGTGATCGTGTGATACTTGTCTTTTTCTGACTGGCTTATTTCACTTAGCATAGTAATCTCCAGGTCCCTCCATGCTTTCTCAAAGGATAAGAGAGCCTTCTTTTCTATAGGACAAGCACCTATTTTATATCAAAGGCATTGGTGGTTTCCAGCTGTGATATGTCCTGATTCTGGGGGACTTGTCTGCTCCAGCCAGCTATGCCACTTCTCTGGGATTGGGTTCCCCTGGGCAGTTCTCACCCTTACCCAGAACCCTCTGAGCTCCAGTTTGAGAACACTATCTATTCCAGGGGACACAGAGATGTGCCTGCTTCCCTTACCTTTGCACAGCATAACACATTTTACAACATCTGTTTCCATCGTCATTGAATTCTTACAAAACCCAGAGAAGTAAGTGCTAATATTCTACACAGAAGGAAACTAGAATAGTTTAGGTGATTTGCCAGAGCCTGCATAGCTGGTAAAGAGAGATACAGCCTTTGCTTTGCAGCTTCTGATGCTGTTTGCTTATGCCTGTTTCTTTTACCTTACCGTGGCACTAACTGTTAAATGTGGCTCTCTCACAACTCTAGGCTTTTGCATATATTTTCCTTCTCTCTGTATAGAGAGAAACAGACAGACAGACATTGATGTGGATCGGTTGCCTCTCGCATGTGCCCCAACTGGGGATTGAACCCATAGGTATGTGTCCTGTCTGGAAATGGAACCAGCAACTGTCCAGTGTGTGGGACAATGCTCCAACCAACTGAGCAACCTAATAGCGGGGCCCTAATAGCCTCTTAATACAATACAATTTCCTGCTAAGTCATTGCCCTCAGTACTCTGTCACTTACTTCCTTGGAGACATCTCTCTTGCACATCTCTATTTTTCTGGCTGAACTGATGGCCTCTTGGGTCTGATCCACTGGTGGCATATTAGGCCTGGTCCATAGCTATTCTCCTCAGTCTTCCCTTTTCCTTTCTCCTGGGTTGACTCAGTTTCCTGGGTCTCACATCTTCCCTCTTTTTTGTTTTGTTTATTGTATGGCTTTATTGAATAACATCCTTCAATAGTTTCAGCAGGTCCTAAAGATGGTACAATGGCAGGAGGCATTGTGATGACCAGATCTCAACCTGTCTTTCCTGTGATTCATTCTGCACTAATGTGATTTAGTTGCATTCTGTGTCCAGTGCATGACTGACATCCTAGGTTCTCACTTCACTGTCATCCTGTAGATTCCCTTTATTTCTCTCCTGTAATGGATTTCCTGTGTTTTGTATTCCAGGTTTCTCTTTCTTTACATTTTTGTTTTGGTAGATTCCTAGGAGAAATATTTGGGAAGTAGATGTTAGACAACTTATGTCTGAAAATGTCTTTTTAGCTACTTTACTCTCTATAGAGAGTTTGGCTGGGTATAGAAGTTGAAATTGAAAATAACTTCCCTTTAGAATTTTGACGAGACTGTTCCATTGCCTTCCTGCTCCTAATGTTGCTCTTTGGAGCAGGAGGAGAGTTTGGTTCCTAATTCTTTGCGTGAGACAATTTCCCCCCACATACCTACCCCCCTATGGAAGCTTGTAAGAATGTTCTACTATTTCATAATGATGTATCTTGATATGGATCTCTTTTCATCCTGGGGCATGCTTGGGCACTTTCAACCTGGAAACTGAATGCCTTTAGTTCCGTGAAACTTGAGATTATTTTGATGTTGATTCTTCCTCCTGTCATGTGGATATCTGCTCCCAAGGACTCATTCTCTTCTTTTCTGGTCCTTTTTTCCCCTTTCCGTCTGGTTATCTTTCTGCTCTACTTTCTGGGACATTTCCTCAGTGTTAACTTTCAACTCTTCTAAAATTTTTAAATTTCTAAAATATCTTTGTAAATCCTTTTGTTGTTGTTTTGTTTTGTTAATCTTCACAGGAGGATATTTTTTCCGTTGCTTTTTTAGAGAAAGTAGAAGGGAGAAAGGAAAGAGGAGAGAGAAAGAAAGAGAGAGAGAAGAAAGAGAGAAACATCAGTATGAGAGAGATATATTGACTGGTTGTTTCATGTATGGGCTCCAACTGGTGGCAGGGAGTAAACCCACAAATCAGATATGTGCCCTTGACCAGGAATCGAACCCAAGATCCTTCAGTGCTCAGGCCATCATTCTAATCATTAGCCATTTCAGCTGTCCAGGGCTTAAATTCTTTTCTATAGCATCCTGTTCTTTTCATGAATGTAATATCTTCTCTTTATTCTCTGAGACTACTAATGATACTTTTCTAAGAGTTTCTTTCTCCATGTATAGCTTGTGTTTCTTCCATTTGGCTTTGTAAAAATTTGTTTTGGTCCATAATCATCTATTTACAGGCTTTCTTTAGATATCTAGGAGATGACTGGCTGGTAAGATTAAGAGTGGGAGCCAAGACCGGTTTGGCTCAATGGATAGAGCGTCGGCTTGGGGACTGAAGGGTCCCAGGTTCGATTCCGGTCAAGGGCATGAACCTTGGTTGCGGGCGTATCTCCAATAGGAGGTGTGCAAGAGGCAGCTGATCGATGACTCTCTCTCATCGATGTTTCTAACTCTCTATCTCTCTCCCTTCCTCTCTGTACAAAATCAATAAAATATATTTAAAAAAAAAAAAAGATTAAGAGTGGGAGACTAAAAAGTTGATTGGAAGTTCTTAGCAAGTAGGAGGGGCCTGAAAACTTGGGTCTTCTCTGTAGGGTGATTTGGGGGCCACTGTTGGGAACCGCCACTGTCTTTAGTTCTTTTCTCTTGGACCGGCAAGACTCCCCAGTGTGTAATCTCCAGTATCTTGTCTAGAGGGTAAAGGTTTTATGGGAAACACACAGATTAAAGGGTTGGGTGGGCTTTCTGTATAAAGCATTTATTTTATATGTATGGTTATTACATTTTTTTCCATTTTCCACACAGTAGTCATGCCCTCGATGGCTTATCCTCAGGGCTAAGTTTTATCTTCCTAGTTATAAATCTCACCTTTGGCCATGGTGGGGAAGGAGCCGTCACCCAGTGGTACAGAGTGGATAAAGGGACCCAGAGAGCTGATTGTTTTTCAAATAACTTTTTACCTTTCCAGCTCCTCCTCTAGCTCCAGTCTTTTTTTTTTTTCTTTTAAAAAAAATATATTTTATTGATTTTTTTTACAGAGAGGAAGAGAGAGGAATAGAGTTAGAAACATCGATGAGAGAGAATCATCGACCAGCTGCCTCCTGCACACCCCCTACTGGGGATGTGCCCGTAACCAAGGTACATGCCCTTGACCAGAATCGAAC